AGCCGTAGAATATCTTCGGATTTGCAACTGCTCCGCTCATCAATTCTTTTTTTCAGAATCTTGGTGTATCCTAAAGATAAGTCGCTTCATTAGGTTGCCGTGTGCTCTGTATGCGTTAATCGATAGAGGATTGCTATCAGCAAGGGATTTTCTCCACGTTCTCCGTTTTTATTCACTTCTTATTTTCAACGCTTAATCAGCCACCGGGACTGTTGCTAAGCTTCATCCGGGAAATTGGACAGTGGTTTCTGAGGAGAGTATGCACTAACTAACTGAACCATTACCAATCTTCGGATATATTGCCGGAAACAGCAGATTCCTAATTAACGTTGTTAATTTCGACCTTCATTTGATCGAACTTACCACGTAAATGATTTCTTCTAACACTAGTAGGCTGTCCAGGTACCGAAAATATTGAATATTTCCAATAAAGAACAACATTATCACTTCGAAATAGAGAGGTAGACATTGCACTTCGTCGATGTTGTTTCTTCTAAGACTAGTAGTCCATATTTAGCGTAATGGACAGATCTTCCCCCTCCTTTCTGATGCCCTCTCCTATATTTTCGAACGAAACGAAATCTTGGTAGTGCCAAATTACGGCCCTCCACGTTTACAAACAACCAGGTTTCTGACAAAGAGTTAATGCCGGGATAAAAATCACAGGTGTGCAACTTCAGTTCATATAACTTGGATAGTAGTCTCTGTAAATGGGTAAAGATAAATTTAGTGACATATTTTTGGCACGTTTTGTTACGATTCACATTTAGCCTTCCTTGAAGGTACTAAGTGAGCCTGTAACAGTTGTCCATTTTGATCTTAGTAAAGCTTTCGATAAAAGTGCCTCATAGGCGACTTATAGCTAAACTAGAAGCTCTAGGTGTTCGTAGTCCCATTACGGACTTTATTCAATCAACCTATTTAAGCGAAAACAAAAGGTCTTTGTGGGGTCCTCATATTCAACTGCTACCTCAATTTTAAGAGGTGTCCTTTAAGGTACCGCGCTAGGACCTCTGTTGGTCTTGCCCTACATAAGTTATATTTTATCAACAATTCAACATTTGTGGGCTCTTGGCCCTACTTGTGCGTTGTTTAAACTTATCAATAACCA